ATAAATAAATAAAAACAAATAAATAAAAAAATAAATAAATGTCCTTTCGAGTTTCTAGCGGGTGGATAGAAGTAAAAAAGATTGGAACTTTTCTCATATTACTAGTTGGGTAGTTATACGTTTGTCTAGGTAATCAGTACTTCTGCGTACTCAGTGCGGATTGCTTGGGCGCCGGCATTTTCAACTGAATCTGATCTCACTTATAATATTCGCTATCGCCTCAAGTGAGTTTATACTCAGATTCAGGTGCTTGAACCATTTTTTGAATTGTTTCACCCCTTTACACTCATATCAAGAAGCGACCTACAGTGTACGAGTGAGCCGCATACCTAGCTTGATCGCATGGGTTCTCTGTAACACTTCGAAATCGGTAGTGCTAATATAGGTCGACATCGCCGTGACATACAAAACTGCGACTTGCGACTCGTCACACATTCCTCACGATGAATTTTGAAACCTTTTTAAGAAAATTTTTAAAATTCAGGCACAACGAAGACGGGAAGGTCCGTGAATTGCGAGGAGTTAAAGGTAACACTGTGGAGATCATGAGCGTAGATTCGTGTTCCCTCTACGAGTTCCGCATCACCGCTGTCAGTAAATACGGTGAAAGTAAACCTATTTACCTAGTCCAGTATACAGGTAGGTACTTTGAAGTTCAGAAGCGGGATCCAATTCGATATAACTAGTAGATTTTGTGAAAGGTCTGTTTTTAGAGCCTCAGCTGAGTCCTCAACACATTTTGGCCACGAAACTTCATGCGAATACCATTGAGCTCACTTGGGAACCACCGTATAAACGAACGCATGATGTCAAGGTACGGACTTTACATTTTCGTACTGTAGCTGCATCAAATTTTCTGCAAAAGAGCGTATACAATACATTTTTAGAACTATATAGTCTATTTTACGGAAAATCCGAACGCATCGTTGTCGGAATGGGAGAAGATTCCGGTCAATGGCAGGCGGGTCAGTGTTCTTCTGTCCTTTACTAATTAGATTCCTGACTTGGTACTCATTTTTTTGACATTTTTATTTATTTTACTACTTTCCTTTTCATTTTTTATCTTTCTACTAAGTGTACTCCCCCTATCTCTCCATTTTTTTTATCTTCAAAAAAAAAAACAGCGTTTTGATTGTTTAATCGAATGTTAGGTCCCCTCATAACTAATGCTGCCTGTGAGGCTCGGAAGCACGAGAGCTGAAGCTTACTGTAGCTAATTTTCCAATTTAGGTAGTGTTCCCGGATCTTCGTTATGATTGGTTCTACATGTTCAGTGCTACAGCGGTTTTCAAAGATGGACAACGATCACCGCTTTCAAGAGCGCTGTTCGTCAAAACCGACAAACTGGAGTTCCATAAGCATTGTTAGTTATTTGTTTACCTGGCTCGTTTGTTTTTTTGGTGCACCCAAAGGTTGTTTTCCCACAGACCTAATGATATATACGATGCTTATCATTTTTGAATCGTTCTTATCATGAAAAGTTGAATGCTTTCTGCTGGAAATGGAAAGATTATCCTCTCAAGTACGGGTAGGTAAGAGAGTAGGCGAATATAGCTCGGGATAGCTCAATCCTGAAAGGGAGGTGGTGGAGATAGGAATATGAAACTGAGCTTTTGGGTGTTGAGTGTTTTGGATCCCTAACTCTTCAATCCCCAAAAAAAAAAGACGAACGGCCCAGACGGTTGAAAACCTGACTTCCATACCTGTTTGCTTTCAGTATCGCTGATCGATATTTACTTGGTTTGACCAGAATTG